TGTATGTATGTATATACTGTATATATATAAAAGTGCAGAAACATACAAGACTGAAATGGTGGTGGAAAAGTCATGGAAAATCAAACGATGTTGTTTAACCCTTTTAAAACAAATGCTATGCTTTTATTGGTTGCTTAAAGTATAATCAAATTAGCTTAAATATTTATATTACAATAAAAATATAATATTTACATGTTTTCTGCACTCTCCACGTGTCTCTGTCTACAGCTAACGATTGAAATATTGTGTTTTTGCATTACTTAATGCAAAACTAATACCATACTAGTTGATTTGAGGTGACTACCTCACTCAAGCCTCATGGATTATACTTCAGTTTGATTTTAGACTCAGAAAGTGAGTTTAGAAAATATACACCAGCTATAACAATTGATCTTTATTTTGACACAGAAAGATTTTCCAGCATTTAGTTTAAGATGGTGTGATGAGATCTCTCATCTGTCTTTTCTCAGTGCATCTGCAATATTGTTATCACAGCTGTAATGGCATTTCTGTTTCATTAGCAGTAGTTTTGTAAATGCTTTCATAGCAAAGAACTGCTTTTAATTGGGTGCTAGATAGAGAGGCGTTTGAGTGCATCAGATTTTTTACATCATTGGGGTCAGATGAGATGCTGGTATTGTAATTAAAGCTAACTGCTGTGCATTACTGTTTGTTCTATCTTGTTGTTGAAATAAGCCAAACGCATAATTTACAAACCCACTCTCAGACATTAAACCACAAAGCCACTCAAATCAGTCAGTCTTATTACTAATAATTGCATGGATTATTTCACTTTTATAAAACCAGTCAGAGTATCATAGTTACTGTATGTCTGTGTGTGATTTTAGATGTTCCTAAATGTTTTTTTGTGCATTTAGAATAAATGTAAAAGTTACTGAAGAATCATCATTTAAGGTGTATTCACACCTGTCTTGTTTGGTTCGATTGCCCCCTTGGTGTAGATCTTTAGGGCAGGTGTGAATACAGCAATCGCATTCAGGTGCGGACCAAACAACCGTACCGAGACCAAACTGAAGAGGTGGTCTCGGTCCAGTTCCAAACAAACTCTAGTATGAATCAATCAATGAATGACCTTAGCTTACATGTGGTTTTGTTTACAATTTCTGGTTCACTAGCAAAAAAGGGCAGTATGAAAGCGAATACACTCTTACACACACACAAATCCATGCTTAGGCACAGCCAATGACTGAGATCCAGTGTGTTACAGTGGTTTTCAAAAATTGTATTAGTTTAAGTGTATTTTTAAGTGTAGTACAGTAAATAACCTAAATTAAACCTTGATTAAAATGTTTTTAGTTTTAACTGAAAATTCTACTTTCATGTTGTAGCTAATTTAGTTTTGTTTATGGTGAAAAGTCCATCAGGCCAAAAAACATATTGCATTGACCTACAATAAATAACATTTTGGCTTATGTCTAAAGAAAATGTATTGTTCAGAAGTCACCACTGTTATACACTTTTTAGGCCACTCTGTGGTTGAAAAAAAAATCTGTATTTCCAAAATATTACTGCATAATTGCTCCTCTCCTCTCTGATTTGTTCATGTCAGCTCAATCCCTGGGCTTTACTCTGCTCTTGAAATAGACCAGCACAGTTTAGAGTTCCCTGGTGACTCCAAGCCAGACGGGAGGCTGTCCTGGACAATCACAACCCTCCTGCTCCCCTCCACCAGACAGACGTTCCAGCAGCAGCGCCCTCACGCTAGTGCTCCTCTGACCTAATGACTCACTGCATCATCAACTTCTGCATCACATAGCCAGCAAACAGACTGTTCAGGATAAGCAAGGGAAATACACAGTAAAAGGAAGAGTACACATTATCAATGTTTGGTAGTGAAATCTAAAATAAAGTCTTTGATTGATGTATTGCCCTTGTAGTAACAGCCAACAAAGTCTGCTGTTCACTTTGAATGCTTCACAGAACATAAACAGATGTGTCATAATTGCATGAGTGAACCACAGCCTATTAAGCAATGAAACAATTTTAGACTCACAGGTTTGAAATAGTCTTGAGCAGCCATAGACTGATACTGTATATTGGCCAGACAGATATGTCAGGGAGATGACAAATTGATCTATATTTGACCATTTTGAGATTGCCCGCTCAGCTATCAGCCATCATCTCAATGCACAAGTCCTGTTTTTAAACTTTAGTGAATTTCCAGTTGATGATGTGTTAAAAAAAAAGTTTAATTGCAGCATATTAGCCTTTATCACATGCATATTGCTATTACAAGAAAAGTAAATCAGTGGCCAGTTAAGTAAATTAGGGCTGTCAAAAAAGAAATTTGAATTTTGAATATTCATCGAATTTAAAATAAAAATCCACATTCGAATGCAAAAACATTGCATTCGAATTTTAGGTGTGCGTTAAGGAGGCAGCCTTATCAGTGGCGCACGAGATGCGATGACGATGTAAGTGTCGTTGCATTTTAATGTTTTTGTTAGCCTATCCAGTTGAAGCCACTAGATGCGGCACTGCTGCGTTGTTAATTAAAAATATTGTGGAAAAAGAGAACATCAATGCAGAGATCTTGCTTACGTCAAAACTGAAACTAAGCCGTTCACACAGAACGCATATTTTGCGCATTTTCTAGAGGGACATCTATCACCGTTGCACTCGCATCTCGCACAAAAGAGCAGCATGTTTAGAAAGCCATGTAAAATTAATGCAAGTTCAACTTTGAAAAAACATATATCGAGACTTTATGGCAGGGTTTTTCCCATCCCACTGCATCTCATGTTTTTAAATGAAAAATGTACTCTGTGTGATTGGCTTTCGGCGCTTTGTATTAAACTATGCATACATACATGATGCTGTTTTGTTTATAGTTAAGCAACTTAATTAATTATAATTGGTTTATAAACATTATTTTAAACATTATTATTAACATTGCTTTGAATAAACGTGCATTAGTAATATTTTGCTTATAGTAATATCAGAAAAGAAGCCAAAAGCTTTTCTTCACCCTAACTGAAATTGTGCATTTTAAATTTGAATATAATTTGAATATTGATAATATTTAAGTACAAAATTCGAATTTAGTTTTTCAGCCATTTTGACAGCCCTAAAGTAAATATGTATTTATTAATAGTTATAGTTGTATTAATATGTATTCATTGTATTAATTCAAATGTATTTTATTACAAATGATTATTTTAGTATATTAAAGTAAAAACGTATACTAAAACGGGTTGCTTTATGATAGTTTGATGGACTTGGGATAGTTTTCAGGTCTTTTCCAGACATTCCTGCCTCATTGTTGCATTTTTTCAGCACACATAAAAACTCCAACTGTCACGTTGTGATTCACGTTTACGTTTTACGATACACTTTATTCTTCTATAGAAACATGCGTCGTAGCCTACAAGTCAATAGGTGTCATCATCGTACAGTCTACATGCATGTCGTACCCAAGTTTATTAGACCCATGTGGCACAGTGTGATCTGCAATGATCTTATAGGATTGCTAAAATCGTGAAGTGTATAGAAGGCAGAAGAGGTGAAGTTTGCCGTTTCTGTGCTGCTAGTGTTGCCTACCAGTATTACCAGAATAAAGCATATTTTCAAACAACCTTTGCAAGCATCCCTTTCACTCATCACACCCTTACCGTTATTGTTATCCTGTGGCTTGACCATAGGCGGAGCGTGTGTAAGGCTGGGGAAGGCTTAGTCTTCCCCTGGCCATGGGGACTTGGGGCAAAAATGCCACTAAATTGGACAAAAATGTGTCGATTGCGGCATTAAATTAAGATCTGCTCATGTTGCACCATATTTCATTTTAGGCGTTTTTACAATGTTGCGCATTTTAACCAATCACACACATATCTGTTGAGCTTAGGAATGCAATGGCCAATCAGAAGAGTCATCGTTCAAAATCATCAGTTTTGTTGAGTGCGCGCGCGTTCGCTGACTGAATTCCGGACTCTTGCGAATTCTCTCATCATAAACAACAAAGCGCAGATGTATGTACAATGTAAGTCATTCACTGTACATACATATAATTCATTTAACAGTGTATACAGCTTCAGTGATCATAACGATAGTTTTGTTTTTTTGAGAGTGCTTAAACTCGCGATAGATCAATGTTGGTGATAATGTCACTTTCTATATATAATTTATTCGCTGTTTGAATAACCGTGGAAAGGAAACGTTATATAATTATAAATTTCTAAAATTTTTATTAAATTGTAATCACGTTAAATACAAAATCAGTCCCATTAAACTTTTTTTTACCTATTCGCTGTTTGAATAACCGTGGAAAGGAAACGTTATATAATTATAAATTTCTAAAATTTTTATTAAATTGTAATCACGTTAAATACAAAATCAGTCCCATTAAACTTTTTTTTACCTACGACACCCATGTCTGGTTCTTGCCTAAAAAGATGGGTTTATGATGTTTAATACATTTGGCTGCTTTTAGCCTTACCCTGGAGTTGGTTCACCCTCCGCCTATGGGCTTGTCAGTAAAGAGCTAGCATGTGTGGTAAAACTTGATTTTAACTTACCTATCGAGAAGAAACAGTTCGGTGACTTAATTCAAATTCCATCAAATTTCTCCGTCTTGTAAAAACGTTGCCAACATTTGCCCTTGTTTTACCCTGTTATCTCTCTGCACATTTTGGTAAGTCTTCCAATTTTGTACTTCTGTAATCGAATCTGAATTTTTTTTTCCCAAAGTAATGCGTCACTCATCTTCCCACACCTGCTGAACACCGTTTGGCTCAGCCTCCAACAGTAGCCACGCCCCAGACTCTTGCTATTGGTTGAGCTGGGATGATTGACAGATCTGAGTTTAAATGTTTAGACGGTGCCTGGGAGGTTCAATGTTTACACTTTAGTGGAAGACAAACGCATGAATGGCATATTTATAGTAGTCAGTGAATTGAGTTAAGATAATGTATTTTGACATTTTTTAAAAATCGTACCAACTTCCCCTTTAAGTGTTTACATGTCTGTTTTTGTGTGTTTGACAGGAGCTGGTTGGCAGTAGCCCTCCACAGAGGAACTGGAAGGGAATCGCCATCGCCCTGCTGGTCATCCTGGGCATCTGCTCTCTGATCGTCACCTCCGTCATTCTACTCACACCAAGTATGTGCTGCTGTCTGCATGCACCTCACATTTAATCATTAACACAATACAGGTCTAATATGCAAACAAAATGTAATCGTGTGCACAATGCACATTTATTAATATTAGTATGCCTGAAATGTGTTTTTAATATCGCTATTAATAAGGATTGTATGATCTCTGTATAATATCAGTCTTTAAATGCAAGATTTTTAAAATGTACCTGAAGTAGCCTACACTTGCAATAGTTTCACTTTAGCACAATCAAATATACTTCACTATACTGTATCTTTAGTTGGACTTCAGCACTACTTCCACACAATTAAAGTGCATTAAGTTCAAATTAGCAGACTTTTAGTATACCAAAAGTTCAATTGCAGGTTTGTACTATACTTAGCACAAAATAAATGTATTTCAAATACATTTAAGTATTTTTTGTAGGCTTTTGAATAGAGTAACAGAGATATCAACATTGTTACAAACAGCTCAGATTTGTACTTTTTACTTTTATAGCACTGAACTCTTCATACTCTATATATGTCAACAAGTAGCTCTTTTAATTCTGTTTTTGTGTGTCTTTGGAGAGGTGTCTGAGCTTTTCCTCAATAATTTGAATAATACACTTCTGGTATTGTTTATCAGGTATGGTTTTGCTGTGTTTTCGTACACTTAAATCATTTTGTACCAGAGTAAAACTGTATTGTCAGTGCAGGAGAGACAAAGTGATGATGCCAAGCAGCTGCTGCAGCCAAAATATTCCTAGGTTCTGGGTTCAATTTGAATGATTTTCCAGGGTAATTAGTATAGCGTGTATTATATGACTGTACTTTAACACAAGAAAAGTGGGCCACCATGTTTCCCCAGAGTTCAGTTAAATATATTTTTTTCAAACACGAGTGATAGAGTATGTATGCAAACATGGATCAATTGTTAGAGAGACTAAATTAGGATTTGCCTCAAGGAATGAGTGAACTCATTTTTAACCCTCGCCTAATTGAGGGTGAGCTGTTTCCTTGTGAGGGGCTTGCAGAAAGACATCTAAAAGTACCAGGGTTATTTTGAGTATTATATTGAGTACTAATACTACTTATATACTATTTATATACAGTAGTGTTTATTAATAGCTTTTATTTTTTCAGCTATCATTGTATTTGTAGTTTTATAGATTTTTTGTGCTTGTCATATATATATATATATATATATTACATACCTATTTTACGTAGCTTTGTTTTTTTAATTTTAGTACTTCAACAGGCAACATTTCTTATTTTTGAGTTTTTAATGTAATATTATTTTTATTTCAGCTTAATTTCAAAGTAACATTTCCATCTACTTCAACTTAAAAACTTAAGTTACATTTATTTTTTAAGTTTTTAATCTATTTTTCTATTTTTTAAAGTTTTATTTCATTTTATTTCATTTTAACACTATAACATTTCCACTTATTGCACTGTAAAAATTAGAGTTCAGTTGTTTCCTTAAACTTTTAAGTAAAATCAAACTGGCTGTACAAGTTATTTCACCTTAAAGTTTTATAGATTTTTTGTGCTTGTCATATATATATATATATATATATATTACATACCTATTTTACGTAGCTTTGTTTTTTTAATTTTAGTACTTCAATAGGCAACATTTCTTATTTTTGAGTTTTTAATCTAATATTATTTTTATTTCAGCTTAATTTCAAAGTAACATTTCCATCTACTTCAACTTAAACACTTAAGTTACATTTATTTTTTAAGTTTTTAATCTATTTTTCTATTTTTTTAAGTTTTATTTCATTTTATTTCATTTTATTTCATTTTAACACTATAACATTTCCACTTATTGCACTGTAAAAATTAGAGTTCAGTTGTTTCCTTAAACTTTTAAGTAAAATCAAACTGGCTGTACAAGTTATTTCACCTTAAACTATATTAAACTGACTTAAAATATTAAGTTATGAAAAAAATTAAGTTGAAGATAATATAGTTAAATTAATGTGATGAGTAAATGGAAAATCATATTGTATGTTGCCATGACTTATTGATCATGTCATTTTTTTTTTCCAATTACAGATTTATTTAATATTATTATTATTATTTAAAGTTTTAGTTTTAGCTCAGGATATCAATGCTGTTATAATCATGTTTATCCCATATGTTGTATGAAGAAGTGAAATGTCATTCCACTTTGCCTTTCTTGCTTCTACTCTTTCTTGCAAAGTGTTAAACTCCTGAATGGATACTTGTTATGTAGTGAGACAAACTATGTGGGTGAGTGTATAGTTGTTTAATAACAAAAACACCTCTGGCTGATTAGATCAATGTGCGGATCAATAGTGCTCTAAATAGAATGAGACCCACTAGGGAGCCCCAGTTGCGCCCTGCACCTCATGTGAGCTCTAGTAATTGGCTGTGGCTCTGTGGACCAGCGAGGGAGTTGTTTGCTGAAGCCAGATCTCACGGGGACAGAAGCCAGACAATATGGTGGGAGCTATGCATACTTTTATTTAAAAAAAAAAAAAAAAAACTTCTTGTTTTCCCAGTTTTTTTGTTTGTTTTTTTTTTGGTGGTCTCGTGGGGCCCGATGGAGGCGGTTTATATTTAAGTTCCAGAGTTACTTTCAAAATTTGAAGTTTGAGGAAAACCTGAACACTCCTGTTTTAAACTCACAAACCTAAGCTTGAAGAGCAAATGTGCTGTGAATAATAAATCAGAATCTGTAAACAAGAACACTGGAGGCGATTATTGTTTTTCTACATAACTTACAAAGTACTTCAAACACACCTTTCATTGTCTGATAGAGAAACGCATTGTTCTGGCATCCTTATTGAATGAAAAGAGAGGTGCAAAACTGAAAAGGAAGGTGTAAGTTGTACATTTTGCAAGAAAATACTATTTCTCAGACTACTATTTTATACTCCTATTTTTCAGTCCTTGTGCTTCGAATATTCATGGTTTAATTAAATGTGTTGCCGTTTCTGTGAAATGTACCAGTAATTTCTGAGTGAAAAATGTTTCTACAACTGTTTTTTTTTTCAATGCTGAAATATAGAGGAGCTATTTCAAGTTTGCATGTGTACACTAGGACATTGGTTAGAAAACATAATTCAACTGGCGGACCACTAATCTGGGGGAAAACACCACTTTTATTGTTGAATGTATTATATGCATTGTTTTTTAAATGAAAATGAACTCAAATATACGTTAATGTCATTTCAATTGAAACTTGTATGTCATGTATTTATATTTGCAATTACACATTTGTAATGATAAAGCTGCAATTTAGTACATTTAAAATATATTAACTCTACACATAAAATCGAATAACACTAGAGTTAAAATGAAAATCAAGTGCTTTAGATGTGCTTTAGTATGTTAGTCAACACATACAGTAAGTGTAATAAGTGTACTTCTTTAAAATAAAAAATTATATATATATTAAATATATATATATATATATATATATATATATATATATATATATATATATATACCTGTATATACTTCTAAGATATGTAATTCTCTACAGGTGGGAAATCAATACAATTAATTGCACTTATTTTTGACAAGGGATGGCTGTTTGTCTGTGTAACACCTTTGTAATTTTCAAACTATAATCTTTCAAAAATGTAAAACTATTTAAAATGTTTTCCAGCAGTTTACCTTGACAAACTTTTGTGCTCACAGCTGAGGATGACAGTCTGGCCTCCAAGAAGAAAGTCACGATTGAGGACATGTTCAGTGGGAAGCTCCAGGCACACGACCCTGAGGTGACATGGATTAGCGGTGAGTGGCGGCTGAGTTTTACTCCCTGTTGTTCAGCTGCCAGCGCTGTGGGTGGATGCAGGACCTTTATCATCATCTCATAACACCAAAGAAAGAAATTGCATCAGGATCTGCATCTAAAGCCTCATACTGATTGAATGCAATCTCTGTGGTACTTCAGATGAAAATCCCCATTTAATATGGACGGGTGTGTTGAAATATTCTTCCCCAGAATTGCATATTCTTTTCTTCCTTTGTCCAGGCTTGAATTCTTTCACGCTGGCTTAGAGGCTCTGGGTTTTCATCATACTCTTAAAGCAAATGACTGCAGACTGAGAGTCACTTTATTGCCTTTTATTGATTGTAAAACTGGGAAAGGGCTGTGTATTACTTTCCATTTCCAACCATGCAGCATACAGTACCTGGTTAAAAAAAAGAAAAGAAAAAAAAAAAAAATATATATATATATGTGTGTGTGTGTGTGTGGTTAGAACCAGCTTTTCTAGCTGGTTTACACTGGTACATGGTTTCCAGCTGGTTCAAAATAGTCATTTATGATCATCAGATGATACATACTGGTATACATGGTTTGCTCAATGGAATTAATAGCTGGGTATTTATTTTGACAAGGTAGATAATCCTGTTCCAAGTAGTTTATTGAAACTTGTTTCCTCCATGGAATTAAAAAAAGGTGATTGTGACTTTTATCTCACAACTGAGACATTTCCTCACAATTCTGCACATATATATATATATATCAATTTGAGCTTTTTTCTCACAATTCTGAGAAAAAGTATTTTTCAAAAGTATTTACAGTATACTCACAATTGTAAGAAAAGTCAGAATTAAAAAAACCACAGTTGCCTTTTTTATTTTTTATTTTGTAGTGAAAACAGGAAAAAAAACTGAATTGTGAGATGTAAAGTCCAAATTCTGAGAAAAATTCTGGATTGATAGATATAAACTCAGAATAAAAAAAAAAAGCCAGAATTGTGAGACGTAAACTCAGAATTCTGAGGGAAAAAAGTCAGAATTGAGATGTAGACTCAGAATAAAAAAAAATAAAAAAAAAAAAGTCAGAATTGTGAGTTGTAAATTAAAAAAAAAAATCAGAATTGTGAGATGTAACTTCAGAATTCTCAGGAAATAAAATCTGAATTGTGAGATGTAAACTCAGAACGCTGACCTCATACGTCATGCTCCCGGAGCTGCTTCTGTGAACAACTGTTGGCGCAAGCTATTTTAAAGTGATTATTACGTTTTGAATATTCTTACAAAAACGCATCGATTCGCTACAGGAGACTTTTGTTCACCCCCGGAGCCGTGTGAGACACTTTTTTTATGGATGGGTGCTTTTTATATAACTTCTTTTGGACTGATGCATGCAACACCCGCTGAGTGGCATGAAACAGCTTGAAAAATCAAAGACAATTTTTTATATAACTCCGACTGGATTCGTCTGAAAGAAGAAAGTCATATACACCTAGGATGACTTGAGGGTGAGTAATTTATGGGCTAATTTTCATTTTTGGGTGAACTAACCCTTTAAGATTTGAAGCACATTCAATACAATTAAGCACAATTCTTTTTCACAAAGGAAGCTATTATGGGAACAAATTAACGGTAGGGTTCTCTGTCTCAGACTAGAGTGCTCATGCTGACAGCAAGGAAATCATAATCACTTTAACTAGCACTGGGCTTCAAAAGAAGAGAAACTGTAACCAAGCACTTCTGCTTGCTGTAGTGTTTTGCACGCTATCATGTAGGTACTTCTCATTGAGGTTGTTCTGGTGTTGGTCTCTCTTCCTGTGTCTGAAATTTCAATCGATTTTTGGCAGGGTGAAGAATAGGGGTGTCCTTTGTTTGCCCTTGTTTGTGTTATAAAGGTGCAGCCCTGGCGCCTTGTAAAGCGTGCAAAAGATGTAAATCATGTTTTGATCTGCATTTTGATGAATCATTTTTGTTATTCTGCTGCTGAAAATGCGTTTGTTGATTTAAGGCTGTGTTTACCTCGGAGAAACAGCCCTATTATTCTCTCTCTGACATGCTCCACAACTCAGCGTCGAGCCTTTTTAAAAGCGATCACTCGTCTGTATTATTTATCAAGGCGGGCGCTATCTGCATTCAGGTCTGGAGCAGACTTGTTTACCGGGGTAGGTATAACATTTACAGCCGGCATAAATAAAAAACACAGTTGCCTTAGCAAAACAGGAACTTTTAAAGCTGGGACAAATGAGCCAATGCTTTAAAATGAGCTGTAAAAAGATTTTAAAGGCTTTCCATAAATGAATGAATGCATTTATGGGTTATAGAATGAACCCAAATCATTTTATGTGCATGAAGCACAACAGTAAATCTATAGCTGTCTGTTCTGACCAGAATGAAGTGATTGTCCATAAATCTTACCCTATTGTTGTTTATAGATCTGCTAGTTTATATTATGTAGTTGTTAATTATTTCAGGTTTTTTATTTTTAATAAATGTATAAAGTTTACAAACCGTTTTTATTTGGTTTGTCATTGTGATGTTTGGAGTGTAGAATGATGAGGAGAAAAAGTTATTTAAAGTAGTTAAACATACAGTAAGGCAACAACATGACAAAACATGAAAAAATGAAGGAGTACAAATTATATGCGTGTGTGTGTGTGTGTGTGTGTATACATATATACATATATACACACACACACACACACTATAAAAAATCTAACTAAAAGCTACACATTTTATGTTGATTGTTGCTTTGAAAATTTTCAGTTGGTTCATCTAAAGTACTAAAATTGTTCAAATACATTGTTCACACACACACACACACCCAAACACATCTATCTCTCTCTCTCTCTCTCTCTATATATATATATATATACAGTGTATATACTGTATACATACATATATATATATATATATTCTCCAAAGTTTTTGTAATTTTTTAAGTTTTTGAAAGTATTTTTATGTTCACCAATACTGCCCTTTAATGGTTTTGAGATTAGTTTGTTTTTTGACAGAGAGAAAGTGGAGCTGACCCCTAATGAGGTGCAGAGCACCGCACTGCAGTACGCCGGATGGGGTCCCAAAGGACAGCAACTGGTAAGATAATCATACACACACACACACACACACACACACACACACACACACTCACACTCTCTACCACCGATGAGTCACTGAAAAAATTGGTTTAATACGTTGCCTTTCTGTATATAGCCTGACATTCATTATAACATTATTAAGCTTATGATTTTGTGGAGCATGTAACATGCAATATGCATATTTACTGCTTAAACAAGCAATATTAATACAGTACATTCAACTGTACAAGTTACTACATGCATATATTGTGTATGTATACACGATTTTGATCATTTCTTTCAGTATTTTATATTCTTTTCCTGGGAAAGTGTGGGTTTTATTGAAACTACATGTAATGACCATCATGATCATAATCTACATCAAATCCTGGTTTGCCTTCATCCACTGGTCATGATAGAAATCTAAAGAAGCCCAAATCCGTGCTAATCTTTAGAAAACACAGTATTTTAGGCTCTCAGCTCAATGACTAAAGCACAACAGCTCTTTTTCGGGTGCTAGAAGAACATGGATGTGCCATACCTGAGCTGTAAATAGTAATTGCATCTATAAGGCTTGTATAAAAATTAGTGTAGCTGTATACTTTAGCTAGTCACAATAAAAAAAAGTTTTTACTTACCATTTTGAATTGTCTTGTAGATTTTTTGAGGTTCACTTAAATTGTCCTGCAGTGCGACAAATTAATTTTTAAAAGTACCGGTATTCCATGTAAACTATAGTTCAAAAGCTTGGGGTCAGTATGATTTTTAAAAGAAATGTATACTTTTATTTATCAAGGATGCATTTAATTGATCAAAAATGACAGTAAAGACATTTATGAAGTTAAAGATTTTTGTTTCAAATAAATGCTGTTATTCTGAACTCTCTCTGAAACAAAAAAGTATCAGTTTCCACAAAAATATCAAAAAACTGTGATTTTGATGATAATAAATATTTCTTGAGCAGCAAATCAGCATATTCGAATGATTTCTGAAGGATCGTGTGACACGGAAGACTAGAGTAATGATGCTGACAATTCAACTTTGATCACAGGAATAAATTACATTTTAAAATACAAAAAAAAATTAAATACAAAACAGTTCAATTAAATTGTAGTAGTAATTTACTATATTATTGTTTTTTAATGATCAAATAAAGGCAGCCTTTGTGAGCATAAGAGACTTCTTTCAAAAACATTACAAAATGTACCATCCCCAAACTTTTGAACAATAGTGCATTCAATTTAAAACAAACAACCAAAAAAACATAATCCGGACGAAGAAGCGGCAGCCACAATGCGCCAGCGTTCTCTTCGCCGGAAGCATCTACTCATGATCTGAAAAGTTATATTGTTTAAAATAATTTTACATGGTCAAACTGCTTAATATTTTGTATTAACCACCCAAATTCTGCTCAACATTTAAATAAATAAGTGCGAATCAAATAAATAAGTGTGAATCATCTCCAGTAGAGCACAGGATCTGAAGATGTGAGCTGCTCATATCGGCCTGATTGTGTCTGTGTCGTGCTGGCAGAGATAAAGCAGGACTCTAGTAAAGCAGTGGCAGATGGCAGCAGCATGACACAAGCCCATTTCAAAAGAGCTGATTTTAGTTTCTTTCTGACCTTAATTAGTGGCGTTTGGTAAGGCAAGAATCACTATTACTCTTACCATAGTTAATGTTAGAGATTTAAAGAAACCCCTAACTAACTGTAGCTTTAAAATGTTTTAAAGGGATAGTTCATCCTAAAAAAAAAATTGTCATCATTTACTCACCCTCATGTTATTCCAAACCTGTATGAGTTTCTTGCTTCTTGAACACAAAAGAAGATATTTTGAAGAAGGCTGGGCAACAAACAGTTGCCGGTAGCCATTGACTTTCATAGCAAGGAAAAAAATTGTATGGAAGTCAATGGCTACATGTAACTGTTTGGTTACCAGCATTCTTCAAAATATCTTATTTTGTGTTCAACAGTAGAAAGAAATTCATACAGATTTGTACCAAACATGAGAGTGAGTACAAAATGTTCATTTTCAACAAGCCCTTTAATCCTCATCCTGTACTGTCTGTGCTATAGATGTGAATGGTGTAAATGGCTTGTTGAGGAAAGGTGTACTGTCACTTTTTAACTTTATGGTTTTCATCCGGCAGACAATTTAAAAAAAGATCTGAACCCAAGGGCGTCATGTGTCCTCTAGTGTTTGTGATGAGCAAACAAGACAAACAGACAGTGTTTGCATTAGTACTGCAGTCTGTTGTTTTTGTAGCAAAATCATCTGTTATCAGTAAACACAAGAAGTGCAATATAATCCACGCATGTATTATTTGTGTTTACCTGCAAACACAAACTCATATATGGCACTGCACTGTCATAATCATACACAGATACATGTTTGTTTTTGTGTGTTATAAGCAAAGCACACATGCTCACTCACATGTGTGTGAGCGGAGCATCAGGTGTGTAATTTTCCGGGCACCCGTATGCTGTCCCGTGCCCTGTGCCTTTGTGACACCTCCGGCAATTCGTTTTTCGTGACAGAGCAATCAGCAGGGGTCTGTACAGCCAGAACCTACACTGAAGGTCATATCCCAGACTCCTCCGGGGGGAAGAGAGCGTGAGACAGATCAAAATGGCGGTCATGGATGAGCAGAGATAGAGATGTAGAGGAGGAGTCGCTGTACATCACCACCATTAATCTTCTAACAAATATTTTAATCTTCATCTTTACTTAAAGTTTCAGTTAGAATAGTTTGTAAGAATGTGAGTGTAAACACAACGAGGCTTTAAAAGCAGGTAGATTCCTATATAAGGTCTATTCAGTATTATTCAGTGGCTTTTTTGCTTGCTCAGGAGCAAATTAGCCTCCTCCATCCCCAACTCCTCCTTTCGCCACAGTCAGGACTTGGCTTTCTGATATTCCTCATTGAATTAGACTTCTTTTATCCTAATGTGGTTACACTTTAATATCATTAAGAACATTAATGATATCTGCTTTGTTCTGTTCTGTTTACCCTAAGGGGGTTATTGCTACTCTCCTTGCTCATTCCCTGCTCTCCCTGCCTGTCTGTCTCTGTCTGTCTGTCTGTCTGTCTGTCTGTCCGTCTATCTATCTGTCTGTCTATCTATCTGTCTGTCTGTCTCTCTGTCTGTCTGTCTGTCTCTTTGTCTGTCTGTCTATCTATCTATCTGTCTGTCTGTCTGTCTCTCTATCTGTCTGTCTCTCTGTCTGTCTGTCTGTCTATCTATCTGTCTGTCTATCTATCTGTCTGTCTGTCTCTCTGTCTGTCTGTCTGTCTCTTTGTCTGTCTGTCTATCTATCTATCTGTCTGTCTGTCTGTCTCTCTATCTGTCTGTCTCTCTGTCTGTCTGTCTGTCTATCTATCTGTCTGTCTATCTATCTGTCTGTCTGTCTCTCTGTCTGTCTGTCTGTCTCTTTGTCTGTCTGTCTATCTATCTATCTGTCTGTCTGTCTGTCTCTCTATCTGTCTGTCTCTCTGTCTGTCTGTCTGTCTATCTATCTGTCTGTCTATCTATCTGTCTGTCTGTCTCTCTGTCTGTCTGTCTGTCTCTTTGTCTGTCTGTCTATCTATCTATCTGTCTGTCTGTCTGTCTCTCTATCTGTCTGTCTCTCTGTCTGTCTGTCTGTCTATCTATCTGTCTGTCTATCTATCTGTCTGTCTGTCTCTCTGTCTGTCTCTTTGTCTGTCTGTCTGTCTATCTATCTATCTATCTGTCTGTCTGTCTGTCTGTCTGTCTGCCTCATGAGCTGTTCCTCTCACTCTGCTCACATTTAGAGTAAATGACAGTGATTAGATGCATAACAGTTACAGATAAATACCAGGGCACAAGCGCAGCCATTAGTCAAAGGCAAGACAAAATCAGACCACGATTCACAAACATCACAGTAATAAGACAAAACCACAGTTTTAAAGATCTCCTTAAAAAATAATACTAATCACATCGAAGAGCTCTTAATGGTTTCAAGTGCAGTACAATTATCAATCCTCAGCATTTCCAAAGCTGTAATTGCATCTTCTCTTAACAGTTATCTGAGCTTCTGTGTTGATCATTACAACAAACTAGACTAGACACAATCTCAGCACACACAGGCCTAATGTGTGACCTCTGAATACAAGAACACAAGCTGCACGTAATACAAACATTAAAAAAAAAAAAACTTTCAAAAAATACACTGTTCACACTAGTTTATTTAATTGTGTCCACTAATGTCCAGCAGTCGACACACATGCACCATATGTGAATTCTGAACTTTTATCTTTTATTTATATATGTTATTCATTTTGTTTGATAACATTCTGTGGTGGGAAAAAAATGTCTAGCTCTTTTGTTGCCAAGGCAAATTTCATAGCTAGCTAGCATTTTTCTTCCATCTCATATGTCATATCAAACATGCTCTTTATTGACATTGTTTTCTTGATGTAAACTAACATTTGAACAAATTTATTTTGGACAAAATTGTTGGTTGTGGAAGGAATGATGCCAGAAGAGACTGTAAATTGATAAATAATTTTTCACAATAATCAATACAATTATTTATTTCATATAAACTGCCATTGAAAAGTTGGAAAAATAAACAAGGTTTCCAAGTTTCCAACAAAAAAGAAAGATGTTAGGAGGGTGAATCTGTTGTACCAGCTGAAAAGTGCTGTTCTAAATTGAATTGAAATTGGTACATTGTAAAGCTGTCCTCTTCTTACAGTTTTTCTCAGTCGCTTTGGTGCATTTCTCAGATCAGAAATTAAATTCTCAAAAGTACTTGTTTAACCTCCACATCATCTAGTCACTTGAGCACATCATAAAAGCAGTTTCTCATTCTTTTGAACAAGTTGCGATTGCTTTGGTACATTCGTGCAATTGATTATGTACATTTGTCTGCAGTTTCCTCAGTTGCTAATGATGCTCAAAATGTATTATGTAGTTCTCTGTGCAATAGTCTTACCCCTCAAAACATCTAGTCATTAGTTCATCGTATAAGTCAATAAAAGCAGAATGGTTGATCTAGTTGTCATAAACTGTCAAGCATATTTTCTACACATTTCTATTAGACTTTTTGTAAATTTGCCATGAATTGTGCAGGTGAATCTTGACTTTCTCTAATGAAATCAACCAATGATAAACCAGTTTTCGGAAATAGCTCAAGTGTAGCTGTAAATCCTATCCAGTCTCTTTCAATCAATATCCCACAAACAGTAATGTGTAAATTTGTACTTTTGAAATGGATATATGGCATACATAAGAAGTGCAGCCTTCTGCATTTCAATACAGTAACTGTCATCCAAACTGTTGCCATCAGGTAATACTAACAGAGTGCACTGTTATATTGACAATATGACTAAGCTTTTTGACTATCTTGTTTGTAAACAATAACACAAGAACTTTTAATTCTGATGGCACTGATATGTTCATTGACAAATACTTACTTTTGAGAGATGAGCTAAAGATTTTGAGTAAGTTACAGGCTTTTGCAAGTAATCCATTGTGTGGTGCTATATGTACAAATTGTTTTGAGAAATGCACTAAAGCGACTGAGAAAAACTGTAGTGAAATACTGTTACATTGTAATTTATTATCATTTTTGTTTTTAAAAGTCTTTTTTTTCAGGCATGGTCTGTTACACTGTAAAAAAAAAAATCTGTGACATTTACGGTAAAATACCGGCAGCTGTGGTTGCCAGAACTTC